AGACAGACAGACAGACAGACGAGAGGAGGGAACCAACAGATCATCGTCTGTGACGGCCTCTGTGGATCTTTTAATCTCTTTTAAGCTCCCACCATCTACCAAGCTTGTTACTCTTGGGAAGCTTGGCGACTCTATCTGGCTAATCCCGGTTCCCCTCGATGGAGGTACCACTGGGTACTGCAATGCATACATAATACGTACAGCATACACACAAACCTACAAACATACCTGGTAACTCGTGCTCGTGCTCTTTGCCCAGATTAGGTGGTGGTGGTAGGTAGGTGTGTAATTGGGTACATCACCTTTTGCAAGGCGGGGTAGTCATCTTAGGTAAGGCAACGTGAGCTAAGGTAAGGTAAGGTATCTACCCGCCTGCTGTGTGTGACCTCATCCCGCTCTCTCCCGTCCCACGTTTTGTCGTGCACGATTCAGACTAAATGTTTTACCCCGAGATACCTCCTTCAGGTGTGTATCAAGTTGCCCTTCTACGCCTACCTATGGCTACGCTACGCCAATAACACAAAGACATCACCATATCTCAAGGTAGTACGTTACGTGAACTGAAGAATCAATCCTCGACAGCTTTACAGCAGGCGGCCACCGCTCTTCGTCTTCTTCTTCTCCTCCTCCTCCTGCTGTCGCCTTCACGATGCTACTGGTCGGCGCAAAGAAGTCGCAGCGCCTCGAGGAGATTGGCGAGGACAGCGTCTCCCTCCTGCCCACCGAGCCCGAGGACATGGTATGTCTGTCATTCTCATCATCATCATCATCATCATCATCATCATCATCATTACCACCATCACCGTCACCAGCTTCTTCTTTTTCTTCCTCTTTGCGCTAACGGGATCACCACCTTCTACCTGCCACAGTGGCACGCCAACAACCTCATCTCCCCCGAAGACATTCTGCGCGCCCATGCTATCCGCAAGGTCACCAAGGAGTCCTCCACCGGCAGCACCTCCACCGAGCGCGTCCACACCGAACTGACCATCCGCGTCACCTCCACCTTCTTCGATCCTGCCGCCTCCAGTCTGCACGTCAGTGGCCGCGTTGTCTCCGAGAATGCCTTCGTCAGCGCCGGCCAGTACCACACCCTCGACCTCGAGCTCAACCGCCCCTTCACTCTTTGGAAGAAGTATGGCTGGGACTCGGTCGCTCTCGAAACCCTGCGTGACGCCCTCAACCAGGACAAGGACGGCGCCGTCGCCGCAGTCGTCATGCACGAAGGCCTAGCCAACATATGTCTCATCACAGAGTTCCAAACCCTACTCAAGCAGAGGGTCGAGAGCTCCGTCCCCAAAAAGCGCTCCGCTGCCTCCGACCAGGACTCGGGCATGAGGCGCTTCTTCGACAAGACCCTGTCTACCCTTCTCCGCGCGGTCGACTTCTCAAAACCCCGCCCCCTCCTCCTCGCGAGCCCCGGCTTCGTCGCCGCCGACTTCAAGAAGTACATCGCCGATGAGGCCGCCAGGCTGGCAGACAAGAGGTTGGCCTCCCTGGCCAAGGATGCCGTGGTCACACATAGTAGTAGTGGACATCTGCACTCCTTAAACGAGGTTCTCAAGAACCCCGAGGTCTTGGCCCTCATGAAGGACAAGAAGTCCGCCTCGGAGACCAAGTACATGGACGAGTTCTTCGACCGCTTACGCAAGGATGACGGGCGCGCATGGTACGGTGTCCAGCCGGTCGAGAAGGCGGTGCTGGAAGGGGCCGTGGGTAGGGGAGGAGGCGTGCTGCTGGTCAACAATAACCTCTTCAGAAGTCTGGACATTGCCACACGCAAGCGATACGTGGCGCTTGTCGACAAGGTCAAGGAGAACGGTGGCGAGGCGAGGATACTGAGTAGTGATCACGAGAGCGGCCAGAGGCTGGAGGCACTGGGAGGCATCGCCGCCATACTCACCTACCCTATCCTCGACTTGGACGAGGACGCTGAAGAGGAACAAGACGAAGAAGCGGATGGCCAAGCTGGAGATACGGCAGTCATATGAAAGCAACGTTCAAAGCACAAAAAAAAAAGAAGAAAAAAAACCATGCCTGAATGATTGCGGCTACACTGAGCTGTGTCATGGACTCATGGCTGGGATGCGTCGCTTCTATCCCATCGAAGACTACAGACGCGCCAGCCGTTGAGGTTATTCCATGTCTTGGACCGCTCCGCCCTCCCCCTTTTTCGAAAAGTTGCCTCATCTTCAGAACCATCACACTGCTCTGGGCGACGATGATCCAATTCTCTCATTAGAGGGACCAAGTCTGAAATCAAACATCCTTGTTCACAGGGGAGCCCCAAGAACTGTGAACCCAGCAACTGTTGATGCAGTAGGGTCTGGTTTGTCAGGCCGACAATTCTCCAGAAGCTGATTGTTGAAGTCACCGAAGTCACCGAAATCTCCAGTCTTCAACTCTAATCAGCTGCTTTGACAGTAATACACATTCAATATTCTCCAACTGGATGATAGAGAATCGGTTCACAAGTTACGATGGACAATGGACCGCGCCTTCTTGCCGCCCGTTGGCATCGCGAATATATAGAAGTGAGCTTGTTATTGCGCTTGAATGAGCAAACCCTAGATCGGAGGCCTTGTCATGAAGCCCAAATCTGTAGGCACTAAACCGCAGTGAATGATGCGTCTGATACCTTAGCTGCAGTGGGGAAGTTGGGACCACCCCAAGGCGGTGCACCACGTGGAACGAGGAAATGATTCAACGGACAGAAACCACGTATGAAGGCAAATTGTAGCGGAGAACTACCTAGTATATGGGTTTGTTGACATGGGCTTCCGAGGCCAGATTGGTGTTGCTGGACGCCTCTCTGTATTCATGGCGATGCTCAGCTCTACATGCTTCCGATTCTGTTGACAAGCATGGCTTAGGATGACCAGAAGAGGTGATGGACAATGCATCGTCTCGACTGTCCTTGCTATTGTATCGCCGCTCCATCTGTTACGAGTTCAATTACCTGGAGAAATGCAGAGAGGCCACCAACGTGGTAGAGGTGCAGTTGTAGTGGAGATCTGTGTATGTAACAATCGTATTCACGGACTGAACATCGTCGGACTATGTAGTCGAACGTGGACCTCCTTCCTGTTCTCGGAAGAGTGTTCATCTTTACCACGCAGTATAATCCGTGAATCCGCGCAATAACAGACAAAAGCAGAACAGATGTCGTGTGTTCCGAGCAGAGTACCTAGGTGGTGGTCTCGCCGTGGAGACTGGAGCTCTCCGTGTCGTTTACCGCAAGTGGTTGACATGACTTAGACGGGCGTGGCTCACAGCTGCATTGCCTTGCATTGGCTTGGCTTGGCTTGGCTTGGCCAGCCATGGCCATGACCAGATTGAAGACTGACAGCTGGGCTATTGCTTTGTACCTAGGTAGAGTACAGTACAGCTAAATCCCGTAGCCCTGGCACGTCGAGTCGTGTAGAGTTCAAGCAATGCTTGTATTTTGGTATGGAGGCTTGCATGATATGCATGCATGCATGCATGCATTCTAGAGTAGCCAGACAAGACCGGCAACTTCGGAGTGAGCCAGGCCAGTTCATCCTGTTGTTCCAACTTCCAGGCAGTCATCACCAGTCTTGTGAACTGACCCCCCAGCTAGCCAGGTAATGCATGGTAGAGAAGAGGAAGACGGCCTTTTCTGGTTTCCTGCAGAATATGGGCCACCCGACAGGGCGAAGTAGGCAAGGGCAAGCCTGACTGAGAAAAGCACTGTACATGAACAACACCATTGCGGAGGGCAGCTGACACCGGGGTTGTTTGCTTGTTGGAAGGGCAGCCGAACATTCCGGCATTGCGCTCACATAGTACCTTGCAAGAAGAGACAGCAACTTGGCCCAGCATGTTGGGTGTAGAGTCTAGAGTCTAGAGTCTAGTAGAGGCGTGCCTACATGTAGGAACGTTGGGCAGGTCAAGTTGAGTGGGGTTGAGTCGAGCCGAGTCGAGACGATTCTGGTGAACGATGCGAGATGGTTAACCCCAAAAAGAGCCCCCAGACAGAACATCTATCCGTCTTCAGTACTGCTTTGCGAGACATACCCAGTGAAGTCTTTCCAAGAGTGCATCCAAGTAGCTATATCTATATCTATATCTATATATTGACTGTATCTTGTCTTAGTGTTCCTCTTGATTGTAGCGATTAGCACTTAGTAATCTTAAAGGACAGGTTATCATTGTCAACAGCTAAATCATTGATCACACAATGAAGAAACAAAGGCTATCATTAGAGGAGTGACAGGAGCATCAGAGAACATGTACATGTAGAGCATGTCGTTTTCGCTCTCGCATCTCTCTGCCCTCTCAAGTGTAAGAGAATCTATCCAAGTCCCTCAGGCATTGTCCAGTCTGGCCTTGTACTGCACTACCTAGGTACCTACTATGCAGTACCCAGGGCAGGTACCTACTGTAGGTATGCAGGAGGCGAGTCGGAAGCGCCGGAGCTTTTTCTTCTCTTCTTTCCGAGGCGGTCTACGTGGGTTGGTAGGTACCCGGTATTCCAGGCCTGCCCTGGCTGCGTGACTAGGTACCTTGACTAATGACCAGGCTACTGCAATACGTAGGTACCTGCCTACCTGCCTAGGTCGTGACTTTGCGGAGGAGGCGGGGGCTAAACCTGATAGCGATCCTGTACGTTGTACGCCCCCAAATACGACAATTACGTGTATTTCCCTTCCGCATGCATGGATGCAAACCACCAACGTCAGCCGTATTCCTCCTCACCACAACTCCCAACTCCTGCCTTGCCTTAGATACCTGGATAGGAATGACTATGCAGTACCAGCACAGATAGCCTACCTACCGGAGGCGGCTAGGTGTCTTGAGGTATGCCTGCTAGCTCTGTTCACTGTCCTTCACTGTGCTTTGCTGCGCTGTTGCATGGACGTTTTGCGGTACCCAGCTAGGTAAGCTCCATATCTCACTTCACCTTGACACCAAGTCTTGTGTCAAGACAAAAGAAAATCGACTTACCTTACTGAACCAAAGGAGAGGTACCCTGGTACCTATCTAAGATACCCTTTTTCCTTGAGATTGAGACACTCGTGCCAAAGGGTTGCAAGGCTCATCAGTGATTATCCAGTGATACCTTGGGCGACATACAACATACGTCCATACCGTATCCCAGCTCGGCTCAACGTTACGCTGCTTCTCGCACTCGTCTCGCGAAGACAGACAAGACAGACAAGACATACGAGACATACATACATACCCCACACAACACAAGCCAACACAACCCAACGCATAGGTACTGGCATCCAACCCACAGGAGTCCAAGTGCCGTTGCGCCCGGTGCTTGGCCTTACCTTCCTTGCCTTTGCCTCGCCTTACCTCGCCTCGCCTCGAAACGCCTGGTAGCCTGTCGTTTACCGTCTTCCGCGTATTCCGTATCGAGTCGAGCCGACGGATTGGGTGCGAGGAACCCCT